TATGCACAATTTTAAACAAGAATTGGCCAGCAGGGGCCTCTTTTTTTTTGCAGAGTGCAGAGCATGAAGAATGGGAATATGGCAGCTGGTACCTGCCTACGAGGGAGAAGATATATAGGAGTCAAGGAAATAAGGGAAAGATTAATAGCTTACTATTTTTAAAGTTGCAGTTTCAACTCCAAAGTTTAAATGCTACATTAAAAGTGGCCCAGTGTTGTTTGGTGCTGTGGTTTTTTTAATTCAAGCATCCTAACTTTACTGCAAGGCTTGATCTAGCCCTGGTATAACCACAAGTAAGTCAGTGGTCTCTGTTTTTAAAAGCCAGGTAGGGAGTCAGGATTCTGACTCAGATATCACATTGCATCACTTTTCATCCTTAAAGGAAAACAAGGTATGAATTCAATTGGATTTAATGGGATAGGTCAAATTTCACAGACAATTATTTTACAAAAAGGGCTTGGCTTTGGGCTCCCCTCCACCAGTGTCAATCCAGAGCAGCTGCAGGTAACGGGAAATGCCAAGGATGAGAATCTGACCTAAGTAAATAGCTCAGGTCTAGAACAGTCAACGTCTGGATCCATCAAGGTCAGCCTCATAAAAAAGCTGTGTTTAAATTACAGGACCAAAACCAGTTGAAGGCTGTAGCTTACAGGCACAGCTTTAGTTCTCTGGAGATGTGAAGGCAGTGGAGCCATCCTGGAAGGTGGCTGTCCATCCGCAGGAGGAGCGTGCTTTAATCCTTAGCTCGGTGATAGCAGAATTCAGGCACACAGCACTTGCATGTCTTACGGCAACACTCATAATTTTTCCATTACAGGTGCTTTGAGTTGGTGACATTATATCCACACAACAGGAAAACCACCACCAAAAAAATTCTCCTGAGGACACCTCTGAGCACTGTCAATTGTTAATAACTTGGATTAGCTAGGTTGGCTGCCATCTGGAGCAAACGCAGTTCAGGATTAGATGAATGCTGTTGCGTAGGTCGGAAAGCCTTTCTTCACTTGTTGTATGGTTGTGACACATTTTTCCAAAAATGCTGTCTCACAATCAGGCATGAAATAAAACTTCTGCCACCTGTACTTTTACCTTCTCCTCTCTCCGTTTGGGAAGGGAAGCCATGGGGATGGCCTGGTGCCCTCTAGGATCTTAGATGGTGCTGTCTGAATAGTCAGAAGCCAGAAGCGATTGGAATACCCTTTTGGAATGCCAGATGGCTGGTAGGAAAACAACGCTACATTCCAGCTGTTAGAGGCCTCATGTATTTCATCGTCATCCAAAGGCGACTGCTTCTCATTCGACTGGGTACACAGTGAAGGTGTCATCAACATTATTGATTTGTTGGAATTTAATCTCTCTAATGTATCCAAAAGCTGTAATAGATTAGATAAGTGATGTCAAGCACAGTGAGGAAGAGGCAGGATTCTGACACAAGATTTTTTTTTTTTTCCTTTTAACATTTGTGTTCATGGGTTTATTATCTGTGAAAGCTAGCTGACAGGACTGGATCTTCTCTCACATCCCTCTCCTGGGAGGGAGAACAAAGGAGAGAGGACAGAGCTTTGCTCACAAATCGCTTGGCTTCAGTCCTGCATCTAGCAGCGGTGTTGCCACTCAGTGGTCGTTAGGGGGACATTTTCCCTCAGAGAGCCAGGCTGAGAGGCTCTACTGGGTTATACCCACAGACCACCAGTTTGTAACTGGATGAGTATGATTTTTGGTCGCCACTAGGTAGATGCCAAGCCCATGATGCAGGAGTGAGGGTTCCTGGTGCACCTCTGCCCAGCCCTCCCTAGCGCGCACCTCGCGTTGCTGCTGCTTGACATTATTCACCTGTTGGGGAGCCAAACTAACATCTTGCCAACTCTGGAAGAGAAGCCGCGCGAGATGCTAATCGAGAAGTATAATGTAGTATACTTTGATATGAGGCTGTGTTTCCTTGCCTCCCTGTCTACCAATTCTGATGACATCCGTTTCATATTTCCCCTTGATAGAAGTTGTGACACATTACAACATACAAAGCCTGGCTGATTCCTAAAGCGAGCTTTACAGGGGATTCATTTATGTGAAAAAAATTGCACTCGGTATGTGAAAGGGGCCAACCTCTGCTTGGAGATGAATCCAGTACTCGCAGGGAGTTGCTCCAGTTACTGCCCTACCTACTGGATTGAGGTCGTGTGGATTTCCGAGAGAAATCCAACAAACGTTACCTGGGCAGTTGGAGGGTCAAGTTCGTTGTGCGATCGGAATCACAGTAGCCCCAGAGAGAGACACAGGCGAAATGTTGCTCAGCAGTATCTCAAGGAGCTGAAGGAGCCGTATCATATACCCAAGGCTAACACTTCTCAGAGAGTGCATACATGGAAATAGGCTTTACTCATGTGAGTAAGCCTCCTGGGGCTGCATAATAGACTGTGTGTGGTATGTGTCTCCTTCAAAATGATAATAAAGCTTTCTAATTGGAAGTATTTTAAGTCGAGACAGTAGTTCTGTCAGTGTTTTTCCCCTTCATCTTTTTTTCCTGCTTCTGAACGATTTTAAACTGACAGCCCTGGGGAGTGATGTTTTCTCTTATCTATAGGAGATGTATGGTGTGGCAGGGTAAGGCATTCCACCTTCTGCTGGAGGGACCACTGGATTTGGAGTTTGTGCTGCTGTATAGAATATTCTGTGTGTGCCATTATACAATGCACGTGAGGAAAGAAAATCCATATTAGCAGGGATGTCTATACGCTCCCACACCTTCCCCCTACACTCTTCTTTAATGGTGACACCAGACTGGATAATAAGAAGCATCTTGTATAAAAAAGAAGGGAATCTCAGACAAGGCTTTCAGAGTTCATTTTGTTGGCAGCTTTTTAAGTGGAGTTTTTTAGGCTCTTCTGTTTCAAATACCATAATACTTTTTGAGTTAGAAACTATGAATTACGACAAGCTTTCTTGATATGCCGGGTTATAATCCTTTAGTGGTTTTGTTTATTTCAGAATGTAATAGGAAGCCGTATCAATTATCATGACTGTATAAATGTTGTTCCTCTCTACTAGAATATTCATCTTGAGACACATCATCAGATGTTACCTGTTCTGACAATCACGGGTTTGTGCCATTGTTGGGCAACAGAAACAAAGAAAAACAAAATGTTAAGAGTGTAAGGGATAAAAGAGTGTTGAAACTGTTGTTCTTTTCCTGTCTTTGGAATCTCCGAGATCTTGAATGTTTTATTCCTGGCTGTTATTTTGTTACCACAGTGTGAATAGAAGTCATTATCTGTAAACATTTGAAGAGAGAGATGATTTTCATAACTTTAAATCCTACAAAGGATTCTAGTAATCTGCTATGTGCATGCCAAGGTAAAGCTCAGCCTTTCATCTGGTCTGATCCCACCCAGTCAGTGTAAAATGTTCCTTTGGTGAATGTCTAAAGCATGCAGTATCTTTTGTGAGAGGCAGACAAAAATGAAAATAGGAAGCCCGGCCTTGAAGGCAGCAGCAGGAGAAGGCGTATTATAAAGAAAAATGTATTTACAGCCTTCAGACCATGTTCAGGTGGTAAAAGCTTATTTTTGTAAGTTTTCAAAGGAAGCCTTATTTTTTATTTTGTTCTGAATTAATCACTGAATGTGATCTTTGTCCAGATCTGCTTTACTCTCCCGTTGCAGCGGCCTCTTCCAATAGCCGGGGGACAGGGGACTCACATCTGCTCATTCTCAGCAGTTTGTCGAGAATTTTCTGCTTTTGAACTAGAATATAAAATTAACAGAGCCATCATAATGAACCAAAATGCCAAGGAGGAGTCAATGTGAGATGGGCACAACTGTTTACATGCAACAGTGTAATGGGAGTGGGGTCCATAGTGGTGTATGCTCTTTTCTGGTTCTGCGTCATAGAATCATAGAATCGTTTAGGTTAGAAAAGACCTTTAAGATCATCAAGTCCAACCGTTAACCTAACCCTGCCATCCCACCACTAAACCAGCCTTGATTCAAATCAGGGCTTTTGCGTAACCTGTTGAAATTAAATGAGTTGGCAAGTCCCACCCCATCCTCTGGTGAAAAGCTGTTCCTACCATGGAACCCATACCACTGACACCGAGGGTCTGACTTTTTAAGATGCTGAGCAACGATGTCTTGTTCAGACTCAATGGGAATTGCAGATTTTGATCTTAAAATCGAGCATTAATATTTCCTCGTTAGCAGTCTCAACCACAAGGCCGAACGTCGAGCAGGTTATGCCCTACTGAGCTGCCTTCCATGCCCTGGCGCTGTTCTCTGCAGGTCAATGCTGACAGAAGGGACAGGGAATTGTCAGCATCGTCATGTGGCACGTATTAAGCCGTATTACTCATTCTACTTCAAAAGATGCAGGACAGGAATGGAGACAGGAGGACTCACACTGTGGGGCTGTGAGGGGAGGTAAGGGCAAAAGAAGTGGAAGTGGACTCAATCAGCAAGAGGAAACTCCCTTTTGTGGGCACTGAGTCGTGCGGTGCTGTTATTAGGGAAGAATGCATAATATTGGCAGACAAGCTCTTTTTCTGTCCTTGACAGGAAGGGTAGCATTTTTTATTTACCTTTCGCAGAGTGCCGTTGTGATTGTATTTGCTAGTTGGGTTGAGAAGCTGGATCCAGACGAAGTTCAGAGGTAACTGCTGGATTGCGAGCGAGCTATGGCAGGCTGAGATCACTCCAACTGTGTGTCGGTCACTGGTGTCCACACTGTATTGCCCATTAAACCCAGTGCACACAGCCCCACACACACTGTGCATCAAAGAGCTTCTGCCTTGATGGCCTTGGAGACCAAGCGAGATGTGAGGAGAAGACCCAGAGAAGAGAGGTCCTGTGCGTATTGCGAAAATGCTTTCTGATGCCGCAGGTTTGAGCGGTACTGTCACTTCCATGTTGGTGTGTGCTGTTCGTTTGGGTAAGGATTAACTCATGCTCTGAAGGTCACAGGTGATGTTCTCAGGATGTTAATGTGCTTAATTTTTTTCTTCTCCATAGGGTATTTTTCTTCAATCTCCCCTATGAATCCATCATGGAACGACTGTCTCAACGGAGGACTGATCCCGTCACTGGGGAAAGGTTAGCACTAATGTCTGATCTTTAACATTTTTCAAGACTGCCAGTGAGATGAAAGCACCAGATAGACTTCATAGAAATCTGAGGAAATTCAGGAATATTGTACTCTTGCTTAGGGACTCCTTAAAAGAAAAGTTAAAACTTTCATAGCTACTCGAGTACCAACCCACCTACCTGCTGCAGCAAGCTCCTGTTCTCAGAACAGGGCATTTTAAAATCTTGGAGCCTGAAATCTGCAGTAGCAAATAGCTCAGGTCTAACATTTTAACGGTAACTAAATTGGTAGGTAAAATAATGCTGAGGGAAGATGTCTGAAACCTAGCCTAAATGCAGATGGTTTTCAGATATTCCCATGGGAATTGTGAAGGCTTCCCAGCCGGAGAAAATGGAAAACTTGCTGCCTTTCACTTCCCCCAGCTCCTGTGATGGTTCTGTCTGCTGTGGGATATTAATATATTTCCTGCTCAGTAGAGCAAACTCATTTGAGTCACTGAATCTCTGTAAGGTTGGGTTCTCAAATGCAGCAGTTCATCTCGCTGACAGTCGCATCACCTCGTTTCACCAGTGACCTTCAGGTTTACCGTCTTCTCCACCCTTGGTTTTCGGGGAACGAGTAACAGTGAAATATCTTCCTAAATACCTGCTGGAACTGGCGTGGATTTGCAGCTTCACTTGTGCTCGGTTTGTACAATCCCCTACACTGAAATTTTAAGCCACTATTTTACTTTTCTAATGGTTAAATGCATCCTATTGAATCAAAGACAAATACTGAACCCTGAAAGATTAAGGCCATAAATACTGGATTTGTCCCAAAGTGATACACGATTATTCAGACATCTCACTCGAGGTGCAACATTAACTTGTGACAGGCACTGTGATTTGCTGTAACTGTTCTCTTTGGTTTAGTAATAAGTGATGCAGTTGTTCAGAAGAAATGAACAGTATGAAGCAAAGCATTCACACATCTTTGCATTTCTTATCATTAGGATTAGCCTGTTCGGTATCTGCTCCAGTTAACACGCTTCCTCCTTCCAAACTCAGGGTTTTATTCCTTCCAAATTCATTGTGAATTTAATTGTTTTAGATGTTGATTCTAATCCTCGGCATTATGTTAAACCTGCCCCGCTGGCTACAGCGCAGTGGAGACGGTGGCCTTCAGCTGTGCTCTGAATAATTCTGGTGTGGAATGAACTCCGTGTCCACAGCACTGCACCAGCTGGAGCCGCAACGCAGTTCTGGGCAGACACAGAGGAGACTCTGCTTCTCCTCCCAGTTTTGTGTCTATCCCAAGAGTTTCAGAAAATTGGGCTGTACAGGAAGAGAGAGAAACTGGTTTTGTGTTGGGGCACAGGAGACATTTACTCAGAATTACTGTGGCAGGAAATTTAAATACGTGTTTGCAAAAGAGCTTTTAGCAGTTGTTGGGAGGAATGCAGAAACATTATCCAAATTCTTTTGGGTGTCAGCGGTCTGGGCAGACTGAGCTGGACACTGCAGGACTTGGGGGATGAAAATCTTGCTGAAACCTGCTGCCTAGTTGAGTGAACCTACCCCTGTGAATTCAGGGAAGCCAAATTCTGGTATTTCAGAAATCAGAAATAACCAAAACCTACCTCAGAGTGAATTAACCTCTTTTTATCTTCAGCTACTATAAAAAGATGTTTGCAATTCTACTCTACCTGGTATCTGCCCAGAAATAGAGACCGTTTATGTCTTAACTTCTTCCAGTGAGCTTTAGCAAACGCAGTATTAACCCTACTTGTAGTGGCTTATCAAGAGGCAGCAAACCTGTCTTTCAAGCTCAAGCTTGTGGCGATTCGGAGCCTGTGTGGCACGAGGATGGTGCTTCCACTGCCCTTCTGCTGCTTCCGGAAGCACTCAGCCGCACGCGTGCTAATAGGAAATACTTTCAAAATTTTATATTGGTGAACCCAGCCCTGTCGCTGCACTTTTGAATCTTGGCAGGAAAGTCCCCAGTGTCTGAGAGCCTTAAACACATTTTTAGTTACAAGTCCTTCAGCACTGCCTGGGCGCAGGGCTCACTGATTCACTGCAGAGAAAGCACGCAAAGTTTGGCGGCTTTTTCCCAACTAACGCCCATCATCATCATAACAGTAAGCCACAGCAAAGATTGTTAACAGGTGCTAAGCTTTAAGGTTAGGCTTCTTTAGACGCTTTTTTTAAGCTAGGAATCAAAGAATACAAGTAAAACGTGTTACCTTGGGATTGGATCTGGAACAGATCTGGAAATGCTTCTGAACCTGGAGCACTGGGCACATAACGGGGGTTTCTCCCCACCTCGTGTGAAGTGTATAAACACCAGCAGCACCCTCTCTGCATCACCTCAAGAGAAACTCATGGCTTTTGAGTATCCAGGATTCTTCAGAGCAGGAGTTACAGATTACTTACCCTGAAATTTCCAATCATTGTTTTAAAATCCCAACCTAGACTAGAAAGAGGCACTTCCAAGGAACTGCGATAGGCAAAAACATGGAGTATCTTAGGGAATGGCTGCTGTGTCCTCAAAGTGAGCTGAAGCAGTGACATTTCTATCTCGTCTCCAGATACCACAATACATTCAGGCCAGCGCCCACACCGGAGATCCAAGCCCGTCTCAGGCAGAACCCTAGAGACAAGGAAGAAAATATTGAGAAGCACGTGGAAGCCTATTACAGGAACATCAAGGAACTGGAGGATTTTTATGAAGACGCCTTTTATGTCAATGCCGACCAAGACCCTTATGTTGTCTTTGAGTTTATAGAAAGCTGTATCATTAAACCCCTCCCATGTAAAAAAATTAAAAGCTTATAATTAATAAGGATGATTTCTGGAACAGTTGATTTTAAGCTTTTCCCTGTAATGTTCGCAGTCCGGCCACTGAGGCAACAGGTTATCAGGAGTGAAGAGGATGTTGGGCAAGCTGTGTTAAATCTGAAGCTCCCCAAGGCTGAGCGAAGTACAGAGAGTAAGGAATTGTGCTTTAGGGGAAATTTTTTCAGCTTTTGTTTTGTGATCCAGGTATGAAGCACTGTGGCTAGGGAAGTTCCTGTGTAGAATTCCAATGTCTTTTTCTGATCCTGTGAATAGTAGTTTTGTCTTAACTATGTAATACCCTTGAAGCCAATTTGGAGCATTAAAGCTATTAGATGTGTTTGTGTCTTAATTCACTCTGCGCTCTCCACCAAAACCGCACACGCGGTACCTGCCTGCCTCGCTGTCACACTCTGCTGCAAGCAAACACAGAAGCAAACAGAAAAATGAAGCTTGCAGCTCCACAGAACACTTTCCCCAAAGACAACTGCAGGGTTTTGAGGCCAGGATGCAGAGGTTTTTACTCCCTTGTTAACTCAAATTGCTTAAAAAGTTCTGTCAAAACAGTCGCTCTGCAGATGCGCCAGCTGTCCCCATCGCCCTGTTCTGCAGTCCAGCCCTGCGGCCAGGAAGACTCAGAACAACTGGAACAAATATCCAGAGCCATAGAACCACAGAAAAGTGGTTGCAGGTTCATCACTTTCAGAACCCAATTAAGGACATAACGAGCTGCAGGAGCAGATAGGTCACTAAATTCTGTTTTCCTCAGGGAGCAGCCTTTGCCTGCTGCTTCCCTGACTGAGCTGTGGCTGGGCAGGTTGGTGGCCCACATTTTTTTCATCTGGCTGCAGTAAATATTCAGGTAAGTGCTTCTTAACTGGAAAATCCTTGATGAAAAGCACAGTGCTCTGTTAGCTAGCTCAAACTGTGGCTATGGAAATGTGCATCCTGAATACTTCTAAGGAAGGGGCGTGATTTGCTGTTGTGATTCAGAGGAGCACTGAGTTTGATGCCTCTATTATGTCTCCATCCGTTTCTCCCTTGTGTATGAGTGTGAATTCCCCTTGACCAGGGGATGGGGAGAGGTTTCAGCTTTCTCCTGGAAGCCCCTCTGTCTGGGAAGATGTGGGAGGCACACGCCTTCTCCTTTCAGAGAGGCCAGGCCTCCAGGAGCCTTTTGGTTTTAGGTGACTTCTCTGATCTGTTGCTGCAAATGAGTTGGGTTGCTGCCTTTGATGGTGTGTGCCCAGGTCTATGTGGAGTGCTGTAGGGATGTATCTGACAAATGCCCTCCTCGCACCCGTAGAGTGAATTCAGGTGGGAAGACCCTGGTTGTCCAGATGGCTATGGGGCTATTGGATTATTTTGGGAGAGTTTAAAGTCAGAATTTTCAATACCTTTGGGAGGTTTGGTGAATGGCAATTGGACTTGCCAGCCTTGAGGGCAGCTTTAAAAAATCTCAGAATAAGTGTTTTTGAAATCTAAGAAAGCCAAATCCTCTGGCAGCAGCGACACAGCCGAGCCCTCTGTGCCTCTTGTGCTGAGAAATTCCAGCTCACAGTGCCAGGCTGAGGCAGCGGCTGCTCCCATGGTGCAGGCCCCGACCACAAACCCTCGTGTAAAGCTGGGCAAGGGCATTTATAACAGTTCTACCTGTTACAAATGTGCTGTTTGGTAACCTACTTGGGCAGCTGTTTTTTATGCTATTGCTCTAAAGATATGCTGTAGCATTCATGCATAATTGGGAGCCCTTCTATTAATAATACATGGGAAGCTCATCTTGCTAATATCACCTTCATCTGAGTGCTCCTACTAAATATTTTGATAGATGAAATGGATAGAGAGTGTATTTAAATACTGTTTGTACTGCAGCTAGGGTACAAAAGGGACAGCGCATCTTTAATTAGACAGGTACATCTGCTTAATTAATTTAGCTGTAAAGCCCTTTTTCCTCTTCATTCTTTCATCTATATGCGGACGCTATATTAGTTCCGCTCTGCTGGTTCCATAGAAACTGAGAAAAAGAGCTCGTCTCATTGAGATGCGCTTGGCATGCCTGGGTACGGAGTCTCAGGTCAATGGTCAACCCCCAAGGGTTTGCAGCAGGCCTGAAGTGCAGAACGTAAGGGTTAGCAGAACATGCTAATACTCGTGTAGAACTCTCCCTCAGAAACAACTAAAACAATTGACATTCATTTAATTACTGTAAACGAAACAGCCCCTGCATCACTTTGCATAGCAAAGCCTGTTAATACCAAAAAGGTTCAGTGGGTGGAAGGAGGAATTAGGCTTTTATAATTGGAATGCAACACTTGAAAACCAATTTGGTTACTACGCTTGATTTTATTAGCATCTTATTCTAGCAAAACAAATGTTGAGCAATGAGAAAAACAAGGTAAAGAGGAGGTGATAAGAACGCAGCAGGGACCAGACGTTACTTATGGTCCAGCTTGCCCAGTTCTGAAATGGACGTCTTCTATCTCTCCGCTTCCCGAAGACGCTTTGCAGAGAGGGCTGCTTGGGGGTTGTGCTGTGCCCTATATATTATGCTGTTAATTACGTAGTTCAGCAACACGATGAGTGTGCCCAGCTGTTCCACAAACTTTTGTGTCCACCTGTTCCGAACAACGGAGCCTTCAGTGTTCTGTGGTGGGAGGGTGCTTGGACCCCCCAGCAGGAGACCCAATCCTCCAGCACTGTCTCTGCAGGGACCCCCTTTAGCACTTGGAAGATTTCCCCTGCCACCCCCTTTGGTTTCCCACCTTACCCTCTAAGCCTTGGGTGCTGTTTGGGTGACGATGCCAGCACAAACACCTTAAATGTAGATGGTTTTGCCACCGTCCGTTCACAAGGTGCTGTAGAAGCCATGAGACTGTTGCGAAGGAAGGGCCAGGCGTTGGTACAGGTCCTTAAGATTTGGGTTGGAGCAAAGAGAGGCTTGGCAGGTACCTGTGCCTCAGTTCTGCTTCCCGGGGGGCAGCTGGAGCTGAGTTGATCTTAAGTAGGAGCGGACTGTGGTTGTGACCCTGTAACTGCCCGTCTGTGTCACCGTTGCCGAAACTGAACCTGAAAGGCAACCCTTGCCTTGTCACGGGTACTTCGTACGGAAAACTGTCCGTTCCCCTCTACAGGCAGCTCTCCTGGGTTATTCTCCTCTTTCTGCAACAAGAACTGTTCCGATTCTATGGAAGAAAAGAAAAGGTGATGTCAGGCCCCTTTCATCAAAGGAAGTTGGCTCTTTAGTAGAATTGTTTTCTGGAGCTGGCATGCTGCCACACGGCCATCAGGGAGCCCAGGGAAAAGAGGGGTTGAACCTGTGCTGGCGAGGAGGAGGGAAAGGCTGTGTGGCTGAAGGGCACTGTCAGGCCCCAGGTCCTCTCCCAAGCTTTACCACCGCTGTTCTGTGACAGTGGCCACAGCAAGATTGTTATTATTGAGGTTTTGGGTTGTGGTTTTTTTTTTTTTAAAGCGTGAAGTGTTATGCTGAGGGACTGAGTGCTTAACTACACTGCTCCCTCTTGCCAGTCTCAGCTCTTGGGACCCCGTGTTCCTCCCAGGAATTCAGTCCCTTAAAATACAGACATTGCAAACAAGTACTTTATTTATTTATTTAGAATAAAAAAGGAGCAAGATTACAATGCTACAGTCGCAGTATACAAAACATTCATCCAGGTTTGCTTCACGTTTACAAAATATGCCATATACACAGCACCAATATTCACAGCAACTTTGTCAGACCCTCCCGTGAACTAAGTCTCAACGGAGAAATCCAGAAACTAAAGATGAAAACTCAGTGTTGTTTTTCGTTCAGCCTGGTGACCGTGTGGTCGGCCAGCTACAACGCTCCCACCCCAGAACAGAATTAAAGTAGCATGACAAGATCGACTAGGTTAGCTGAGTAATTAAATTGAACTCTCCTCTGAACAGTTCCATTTGGATGGCTCATGGGTTTTCCCTTTTCAGGGCTGGCCTCCCGCTTTTGTGTTAAATACGAATGCTGCAGGGCTGGCGCAGTCCCATAGCCCCTGCTGCAGGCTCTCAGCTCGGCGCGAGTCCTCCTGTGATGAATGAAGGTGCTACAAACATTCGCATTTGGGTTGATTCAGCCGCAGCCTAGGACAGTTCAGGGAATTACTCCACTTTCTGACCCGAACTGTGAACACTAACAAGTGCCCCGTGTACCAGCTGCATTGCAACGATCAAACCAGTCATCCCCAGGCAGCTGCGACGCCCCTGAAGTCGCTACCCAGACTGTGACAGAGCAGCAGGACTTTCAGGTTTCTCGAGTGAAGAGTGCTAAAAACTGAGTTAGCGTTAAAAAATAGCGACAGAATAAGCATATTCCAACTGACACCAAGGGTCTGGGAATGTCTCCAGTGTAAAGTCTGAGTTAAACTGAGTACAGCCAAAGATTAGCACAGACAGAAATTTAAGTGAGAGCAGGTGTACAAGGCCCTCCTCCATTAGAAGTGAAAACTAAAGCTCTGTGGGCATCGCTGCACACGTGTACCAACCTCTACCAGCTGTGAAAGAACGATCATGGATTGAGACTTCCAGGAAATGGCTCAACTCCATCTTGTTAAGATTCCCGCACCTTCGATGGGTAGGACAGGACTCTGGCTGAATAAAGCCAATCTCAAGTTGTCCTTGCTTACCCATATGGAGCGAAAAAGCAGCTTTCCAGCCCGGTGTTTGCCAGCGGAGCTGTGAACCACCAGGCATCTCCATGCAGATGTTTGTACCGGTTCTGGTTAAAGAATAAACCCTGCCTGCTTTGGTGCAAGTCTGGAGTATAACCAGTGCAACTTGGGGGTTTACAGGCCGGACAGAGAAAGCTTCAAAAGGGAACACAGCAGGGGGATGAGGACAGATGTGGTGTCGGTAACTACTTGGAGCATTTCACCCTTATTTACTGAGACCCCATAAACAGCTTCTTCCAGTTCATTTAGATGCTTACTATAAATCTGACTTTTGCCCTGAGTACCAACACTTTGAGGCCAAGACTGCAATTGCCCTTACTGCCAGCTGCAAAAATATGAACTAGTGCTCTGCAGTAACAAATGCTGAAGTTTATTATAAAGTATCAGACTGCTAGTAACTGCACATCAGGTGACTGCCAGAAGGAATTCAATGAACAGCATGAACTAGGTTGTAAATGCCAACAAGCGCTTTATCATGACTGACACCAGGGAGCAGGCACTGACATACCCAGCTCCACTCACACAGAAGGGCAGACTGGAGAGGATGATGAGGAGCCTTCCTTTTCCTGCAGCTGCTGTTCCACCCCCTCGAAGGGAATCTGTCGGTAGACACATCCGACTGGCCTTGCACAAAGCTTAGAGCTTGTCAGAAGAGTGACAGCTTCAGCGATTAACCCTGACCTGCTCCGTGGTGAGGGCTCGGAGGAGCAGGGACAGGCGCTCTTCCTCGTTCTCTCCCTGATGCCGTAGCCCGTAGGTGGCAACCAAGACTCCAGCAGTTCTGCCTGCAAGGCCACCCGGTTTGTGAAACAGCGGGCAAGGAATAGGCGGGCTCTGTGTTTGAGAAATTAAACTTGTACAAACAAGTCTCCTGTAAATGTTAGGTTAGGGCATAACAGCATCAGTGTGACGTTAGCCTTTAACTAGGCCTGTAATGCTTGCGTTTGGTGCTTTTATGTCAAGAAACCCTTGATGAGGCTAGAATAAATGATGTTCTGCTGCCCATAATCACTGAGGATACATTAGCCAATGGATAAACTGGTAAGTTTAAGAAAATCAGGGAACAATTTATTGCCTGGATGTATGCATTAGCAACCAGAACTGTTTCCTCTCTAGCAATATACAGTAGGATTTATAGGACGGGGGAACATACAAAAGGCAAGGATGATTGAACAAGGAAGTCCCCAACCCATCGCTGAGTTAAGGTAAAAGGCAGCAGTGAGTTCCACCATCACCGATTCCAGAGGGGGGCTGTAGTTTGGAGAGCCAAGACAGAGCCCTCGTGACCCCAAACTTTCACCTCAGTTCAAACAACGGATCTAGCACCGAGGCTCTGAGAAGCCGTACAGTCCACCTGGGTTAGCTTGGATTTCTTCATCCCAGCGGAGGAGGGATAAACTCTTGTTACTGGCAGGAGTAGTAAACCTTAAATGTTATCAGAAGCTACTTATCAAGGACAATGACACACTGGCTTCAGACACAGAACACAGCGGGCAGCTCTGGCTCTTAATTCTCAGATGCAACAGCAAATAACACAAGCCTCTAAAAAAAAAAAAAAGAAGGCAGAGCATCAAGAACCGCTTGGTCTCTCTGCTGGAGCGTTAATTCTTCCTCTGGAGACGAGGCACCGTGAACAGCCACAGTGTTTACCATCAAATGGCGAAGCAGTTGAGAGCCTTAAACTACTTGAGACATCTTGCAAAAATTAGGGGAAAACTTAGCGAGACAAACTCGGATTTTGTGGGAGTTATTCTTTGACTGCTTCACTTTGTGTCTCAAAACAGACTGGGCCTTAATATCGGATGGCTCCGCTATGCATTAGTTTGAGAAGGCAGCTCTGTCGATGGCAAACTAGCACAAGGACCTGGCAGCAGGTGCTCCTGCCTTCCCTCCTCACCCACTTGCCCCCCCCAGGTGGGATGAAAGCAAGGGCTTTGATTAGAAGGCGAGAGATAACGCATCAGGGTGCTGCTGCAGCCCTGCAGGCTGTTCCAGCGCTGTAGGAAGGGAACTAACCTCCACGCGCCCAGAACTGCCCGTCACGAGTCCAAGACAGGTAAAAGGTTTCCTGAAGGAAGCCTCAGCTGGTAGCTGGGCAGAAAAAACCAGTAAGATCAGAGGTTAAATGTTACTGGTCTGAGGTGTGCTGTGCTATTCAAGCCTACACTAGTTAAAAATACACATAGGGACCAGTCATGGCTTAAAAAAAAAAAAAAAAATAAATCACAGTATCTCTTTACCTGTTGTGAATGGGTCAGGGTGAGAAGTGAAAGCTTTGTGCTAAAGGATCTCCACGGGCATGCAGGCAAAGCCGACATCATTGGCTTTAAAATTCCATTCTCCCAGCAGTCATAAACCAGGTTAAATAAACTGGCAATGGTATACTGAGTATCTACTGCCTTGAAAGACAAGGAAAATAAACATTAATGCTGCAACATTAATGCTAGGTGTACTAGAGCTTCTACCTGTCCAAAGCATTAAAACTCAGTCCAGGGAAATTCAAGAATGCTGGAAGTAATCACCAGGAATTAACCTAATGATGTCATGCTGAACCTTTTGGTCAGCCAGACTTAAAACATTTCAGCAGATCAGGATATTATGGTTTCTACACCAGTATCAAAGAAACCTTATTTGTGCTATTTTTTTAAAAGCACTTACACGTGGTTCTGGAGAGTTCTCTCACCTTTTCCGTCACCAGGTGAATTTTGGAATCTGAATGCTTACTGATGAACTGCTCAGGACTGCCTGGACAAGGACTTGCAGCTTCCACTTAAAATGTTTTCTCTACCTTCTGTTCAGCTCGTGCTGGGAATTGACGTTCTGTTCCCCCCAACCCCATCAGCACTGGGAAGGAGAAGGTAAATGCTGCCCCAGGTACAGTACCTGGCCTCAAACTACGCACACGTTGGGTATCAAAGTTACTCTTTGTTTTACTAGGTGCTACCACGATCTACATTTTCTTTCTTTGCAGACACACGAAAGTAATTTCAATTTTCAATGCACAGCAATAAAAAACTAAACATTTCTTTAATACAATTATGGTATCACTTCCAAGGATATTTACAAACGAGGCTAATTATTTTACAGATGAATGTGCTTCTGCTGTTCTAGTCTACTATATTAATAATATTCTCAGTCAAAGCACTGTCATGCTTAATGCATGAAACACTGAATAGTAAGGACAGCTGACTTGTTTTAATGTTAGCTGGAAAAAATTTGCTCCTACTAAAGGTGAAGGAACGTTAAGAAAATGTGCATAGTCATTAAATCAAGGAAATGTAAGCACCAATCCACACATGCATTGTTGGAGACTGATACCGTCAGGGCAATTCCTTGATTTCTCAAATAGCTACAGAGGACTTCACCCACAGTCAGAAGTGTCATGAACCACAAACAGGGCAACACATCCCAGTGTCCAGACTGGCGCTCTGGAGAACGTAAATACATAAACTTGGGATTATTTGACAACATGGGTTTAAGTTAACGAGACAAACCGTACCAAGTAGCTGTACACATTTTGGAGGTATTATTCCTCTAACACTGCATAGGAAGTTGAAAAGGATTCTCCTGCTCCCCACAGGAACCAGACACCAAAGAGAATGATGATTTTTTTTTTTTTCTGGTAGGACAGTTAAAAGGCAGAATAAATTTCTGGGCTCAGCCGTGCTACATCACTGATGTACTTATGAATCTCTTGCTGAGAGAGGCAGGGTTATGCACAAACAGCTTCACCAGACGCCATCACCACCTGTGGAAACTTCACCTACAACATCTTGGCCATGGTGGTGGTTGGTTTTTTTTTACTGTGTTATTGTGAAAAGAGAAACTGTCAGCTGGGAGCGATTATTTGTGTGTCAATGTCAAAATTATGTAAAAATCCATTTCTGTATGAGAGAGACTCTCAATTAAATTGAAAATAAGGTAAATTGGTAATGGTTTTGGTAACTGAGTTACACTGGAAAAGATGATTCCTGTTGGTAGAGGGTTAAGTGAAACAAAAGGCATATACATTGGCAACAGCTAGGCAATAGTTAGAACTTAGTTCAGAAAAAGAAAGTGGGGCAAGAGACTTAGTAGCCTTGGAAATTATATATATATTAGTGTTTAATCTAATTGCTATTAGTTTAATAATTATTACACTTAAAAATTATTCTTACTGATCCATATTTGACCCAGGCAGCCAATATTACCCTTCTGACTGCAACACTGTTATAACAGTTAAAGAGGCAGTTATTCTTCTAGACTTTAAGTGAAACTAATGTAATGGCCAATTTCTTTCATATGGCTGTAACTGGCATACGCTTCACTCTGCAAGAAATTAGAACCACAAATTATTTTGATAGTTTAATATTCTGCAGCAAGTGCCAGTGCTTGTTAAAAAGCAAAGGAGAGCACTACAAGCTGAAGCCTTCTCTACCCACCAAGACCATTCAAGAGGCAGCTCCGCTGTTCCCATCCTAGCTTTGGGGAAATCGCACAGTTGTCAGGCAGGAAGGACAGTTCACACTGCGTGCTTAAGACTTCAGTTCCTTTTCAGTAGAAAGAAGCGTGTCCAGCTGCTGAGGCTTCAGTGGGGTGCATTTCCAAACTGCTTATAAACTCGCTTTTCCAGCTGTACTCCTTTTTTCCGGAGCATGGAACGGGCTCTGGACTTAGGGAGTTTCTAGACCCTCTGATGTTCTATTTACAGGGTCGTGGACAATGTCTTCCCCCTCCAGTAAAGTCTGTATTCCTGTGCTCTGTATCCTTCGAGACTGAAGGGAGCTTATGCAGTAGAGAAACCACTTTCAATCTTTACATAGCTTTTCTCTAGAACACAGGAGAATCACAGAATGTGCAAGGTCCTTGCAATAACCTCTTGATCCACTCAGGATCTGCAAACAAGAAAACAAGTTGTTTAAAGCTGGAGGTAGAGATGAACAAACTAAATAGTAATCCTGAAACAGTTTGTATATATTCACCAGGCAGGATTAACAGAGTTCAGAGGAATCCAACTCCATTTCTGTCTTGAAATGTCAAGTAATGCCAGTTTAAATCCCACTTCAGTAGGGGACAAAATTAAGGTGAAACAGCCCATGCTGTATCATTACATACTCATCTGAATAGCTATACAGGAAAAAAATGTAAAGGATCACCATGCTGCAAATGTACTGTTCTCATTTTCTTAACTGGAATTAGATCCTTCACATAATGCCATCCTTGGTTCCTGTTTCTCTGTCCCTCTCCAATATAAGGAAATCAGGTTTACACCTTTCCCTACAGAGGTTTAAGTTCTGTAGTTGATCCTTAGTGCTGACTGGAGTACCCGCATATTATGGGGAGAGGAAAAGTATCACCTACACTTTAAAACAAACTGTTAAGAGTACTCCATGAGGGTTGGTGTTTTGGTTTGTTTGTTGTTTTTTTTTTTAAGCATACCAGTTGGTAAGAAAATGATTTTCTTGCACAGCTTGTCCTTCCTCAAACTCTGAAAATCAAAAGTCAGTGAAACTAATTCATTTTGCAGATAAAACTTAAGAACACATAATCCTGTCCCTTTTGGCCACAGGACAGTTTACCTTCTGGGGTTGGATGCCGTGCAATGCTGTCGTGAAGCAAACACCTCCTGTATACCAAACTCTGACAGGACTGGTAGGTTAGAAAGCACCTGTGAAAGGACAAGCAGTTTTATCAAGAGGCTTGGGGTTTTATTGTTTTGTGACCTGCTCCTATGCCCTGACTGGGGGCTGGGTTCTGTTCCCAGTAGACCTTGCTTTCTGAGAGTAAGGGCAGTAATGAGCCACATTAAACGTGAAAATTAATAACTTATTAATTCAGGTAAATGAAACTTCACAAGTGTACCCAATCACATATGGTCACAAAAATTAAAAAGGCCAAAAATCAATATACCATTGAAAAAAAGTTGGCCAAAAAACTTTAGCATACAGTAAATGAGGTGAAAAGCTTGAGGGTTACTGGACAGGGGAAGAACCATGGTGTCTTTAAGGCAGTGACTATTTAGCCAAACTTGCACATAATATCTGTTAGGCAAAGGTTTTCCTTTGCGGCAGACCACTGACTTGCCAAGTTTCCAGGGACAATCACCATGTACCTGATATATCAATGTTGGAAGATTTCCTTTTCTAGGTGTTCCAGAACTTGTCTGACTTCTCAGTGTAGCTGTTTCCAGACATTTTTGTTAAAGTACTTTGTTTTCAAATACTGAAATAGCTAGAACAAACCCTCCTTCACGTGCTGTTTCAAAGGATGACCTGTGCTTGATTTTCCCTCGCCTACTTTCTCCCTGCCTGCCCCCATCCTACCCCTGCTTGAAGAAAAAAAGTTAAATGATCAAAAGCATTTTGTTTTAAAAACAGTGTGCTGATAAGAGAACCAAATCCAATCTACAATGCCCTCTCTCTCTCATGAAAGAGGACAGATTAACAGCCAGTAAAAATTGCAATTAACTGCAGCATGGATAACATGCTTTGTGACTTTACTCCAACACTAAGAAGTGGTTTAGGTTAGCTGGTTAAGGATGTTTAAATTATCCAGAGGAGAGCAAAAACTCTTTAAGAACCAATTACCTGAGCCAAATATGTCCATTGGAGCAGACTGCCTGTTTGCGATCAGTGAACGGCAGGATCTCTTTACACAAGCTGCAGTGCTCTGGAAAAGTCTGTTTGTTCATTTTCTTTAAGATATGCCCAATCAGCACCTGGGAATACACAGCAGTCAGCAGTGTTTACAGCAAGGCAGCTGCCTACTGAAAGGTAGAAACATCTCTCAGGATATTGTGATTTCAGAATAGGATACAGCATACAAAGATCTATGCTCTTCACTGAATTCAAAGAAATAAAAGCCTAAGAAATATAATACAGTGATAAATATGAATTTATCCTCATTTTGTTGTCATCTCCAAAAGAGTTCTGTCCCACAGTAAAGGGATACAGAACTTAAGAGCAATACTGTTATGTTAAGCTACTTGCAAATTTCAGAATTACTGAAGCAATTGGTATCATGGCACTGACCGTTGTAGCAACGCTTTCGTGTTCTCATGCCTATCACAATGGATGCGCTAAAAAAAAAAATCCTTTTCAGAAATTGCCTGGATGCCTGTCTTCAGCAGTTGTCTTAGAGTATACATAATGTTTATAGCAGAACATTTGTGTGATCAAATTTGTCTTTAACATTTCAATAGATATAAACCACATTCCAAGGACCTTTAAAATGTGACAGCAAACTGAATAGATAAAATAGAATTTGGAAGTCAGCTTTTAATCACTATGAAAAGAAGAATCTTGTTTACAAGGTAAGAAAAGCAGCCTCTCAAACCTTCAGTTCATAGTAATTGGATGCTGGAAAAACACAAGCAGTTCTGCCAGAATACTTTCCTAGTGAATTACTGATGGCCACACTGTGGGGCCTGCCTCTAAGTCCAGCAGAGAGAACACCAGGCTACACCAGTAATGGAAATGTGCCTCCTTCCTCTGTCCTTCTGGATGCAATGTAAAGCTTGATTTTTAAAGCTGAAGTGATTTAAAGACTTGGGTACTGAAAGGAACTGTTCTCTGCTCATACAAAGAGGTACAGAGACATCCGAGACATTCCTGTCTTAATTCTTAAGAGCCAGGAGGCTGATGGCAGTGTTCCCACTGAAGCTTCCTTTGTCGGATGTCTATATTCAGAAAACTTCATTGCCCAGTGCAGGGTTCACTGATCGCTTATTTCCTGCCACAAACTCTACGCGTTGCAATAGTCAGGATACTGCCCTTGCAGTTCTGCTTTTATTTTGGTAGGGAGCATTGCAAGTTTGGAAGAGTTCCTATCATGGCCAAGCATTCAGTTATGCTTATTTATTGTAGTTCAACAAATGCAAGCATGCCTGAAGGCTCAGGCAATGTATGTTATAACAAATACATTCAGTTAGCTTGGTCAATTTAAAATCCTGCATCCTGCATAAAGTTCTGAATCACTGCATTTGATTCATAAAACACAATCACTTTCTGAACCTCTGTAACTGATCTCTCCACTGAAGGCTCATGGAGCAATGACAAGACCTGATGTACCACCTCAACAGTCACTGTACTTTCAATTATAAATACTTCAAGGAGTGATACTGCAACTCTTAAAATTAGAACTGCAGACAAATTGACTAGAAGTACCACCTCCTCGGTTTAGTTTTGTAGAGATGATAAGGATTAAATAAGCTTAGCCACGAAAACCAACATCTCTCTCAACGGGTACGTGTTCTAAACCCACCAACAGCAGTGGAATAACCATGGTCCTCTCCCTCGTTCTGCAAAAACTCAGGCATGCTTATTCTTTGTTGTATCTGATCCAAATTTCAACAACTGTATTTACATTCTCTCCTGTTCCATAATTTCAAGGAAGGCCAGCTTAAGCTGTATGCTCTGTAGAAGCTGACTGGCACGGCTGACATGATTACAACTCTCTTTCCCACCCCTAAAGTTGTATTTTCATTTAAGGATATGGAGGGGGGAGAAACACCGAATCCCCAGAGCATAGAGGTGCACTTACTCGTGCTGTTCTGTCATCATAGCCATCATCGGACATTAAGAAGTCACAGACTCCTCTGGTGGGAATACTGGTGTTTTCTGTAATCCATGTGTGTAGATAAACTTCTCCCAACACCCGTTTCATGTGTTCTCGTGTCAAATGCATTTCTACTGCCTCAATTTGTGCCTGTATTTCAAGCAGCTTTTCTTCCATTGGCTCGCGGCCTCCTATGTCACTTGACTGAGGAAGAGAATCATCTGCAGTGTCATCTATGTCCATACCTTTGCCTGTGTCACATAGGGTCTGCTTGCTGGCTTGTTTAGAAGTTCCTTCCTCTTGGTCATCTTCAGTGCTGCCCATCCCAGGGGAATCCGATATCAAGATTTTTGCATCCTCGTGGGAAGGTCTCCACATGACCTCTGAGGGAGCTTTCTGCATTGACTGGTACAAAATCCTCAGGAGAAATAGCTTAAACCGCCAGAAGTAAGTAGAACCACAGCTCTCAATCTTTTTATCCAGTGCTTCCTGTAAGAATTGAGGAATATGCTTATCCTTCAAAATTTTCCAGCGTACAAGATCCGTCAAGTCCACTTGCCGGAAAAGGTTCTGAACAGAAGATTCCAAGAGCTGCGCAGCTGCCTCCTCAAAAGTCTTTAGGGTTACAAACTGAACTTGGTAGTTTTTGTTAACCGGGTGAAGACCGTTAGTCATGCCCTCTGTCGTAATAACTGCTAAGTATGCACCGCATGGGCTAACAGCTATTCCGTGAGTCCTGACAGAGCCAAACACTTCCGAGAGCTTAATCAGCTGGTGCTCAAACTTTAAAGCAACATCCGTGAATATAGGAATCAGCTGCCTTACCTTTCCATCACTGGAGCACGTATACACCGTGCCATTCTGTTTGTCTGCAGTCATAGATACGATTGGCAAGGAATGAAGCCCTGTCACGTGGGAATTATGGACATTCAGACCTGCTTTGGATATCAACAGGAGACACCAAAACACGTAAGCTCCTCTTGCAGCCACCACTAAGCTACAGCTACATTTCTGGTAGGGGTGGTAGAGGGGAATGCATTTGATGCTATGCACTGGTAACTGGTCCATTTCTTGCCATAAGACTACGGGTTGTCTCAGCGTAAAGTACCCTTTGACAGCTTTTAGATTGACAGGAAGGATCTTAACCGGTCCAAAAGCACTCCCTACAATAAGTCCACTCATCTTTCGGTTGTTATGTTCATACTCCCACCAAGACAACACACTTGGTGAATTTATTCCGGACTCTATTGTATTGCAAGAAGTAATTGATTCCTTACCCAGAAATGGAAGCTGAAATTGCCAAACTGCAATGTTACCGTTTTCAAAGAGTACTGCTAAGAGCACGCTACCAACATCCCGGCACTCGTTGTTGTGTTTAACCTGCTGCGTGGTGCAGATGCCCGACCACTCCATGCGCACGGGCGTCTGCATGCTGTGCCGCCGCTGAAATTCAGAGAAGTCTCCTAGCTCTCCCCTGGGGCTGTCAGCCTTAGACAGTTTGTAACTGGCTTCATACAAACGCTCCCCGTAGATTTCTGTCAGGTCCACCAGCTGCACCCACTGCAGCCTGTTGAGGTTCGCGTGGATGGTCAATCGATTGTCCATGGTTAACGCTGCAAGCAGGCACCTTCCGTTCGCGTCGCAGCCCAGCGGGGACCAGCTGGAATACTTGAATCCTCGCATAGGCGGCAGTGACTTCCCCTCAGGGTTGAATACTCGATCTAGCATAAAAGTTTGACTAACCGTTGGATCCACTGAACTTGCGAACTTTTCCTTACATTCTGCTACCTCCTTTTTTGGACCAACCTAAAAGACACCAAAAAGAGCTTTTAAAACCATTGTAGAGCTTTTTTTTAGGAAGACTTGCCTGGAGTTAATTCCCACTTGAAACAGAGCATCCTCTACCACAACCTATACTACGCTGGTCCGATGGTTAATTAACCTCACTCTTAAAGACTTAAGCTTCATTGTTGACCTGAATTTGTCTCATACCTCTGTTCTCAAGGGTGTACTTAAAGGTCCTTGGCATAATGTTCAAATTGTAAAACACTCAATATTTCAACTCAAGTCACTCCATATTCTCAGCATTGTTTTGGAAAAAAAATTAGATCCGCAACAAAAGAATTATTATTTAATAAGACATTCAGCCAGACTTGTTACCCCTCTGTGCTAAGGACTGTAAAAAGTCAGATGCCCCCCTGAAGCCCAAAACAGTCCCTGCTGCAAAAATCTTTCAGCCTAGGTAGCAAACCAAGAAAGATTTCTAACTTAAAATGTTACTGAAGTAATTGTTATCAAAGCACTGGAGCTTAAGTGACTCTTAGAAAACCAGCTAAACTTCAGAATCCCTAAAATCCACTCGATACGTGAGCATATCGCGCCCTGGCATTACCGGGCTACGCGTGTTTTCCCTCCCTCCTGCTTTGAAAAGACATCAGCGCCTCAAAGGCCGGGCGCACCGCAGCAACTCCCGCAGCCTGGGGGAGAGGCGACCCCGGGGGCTCCCCCACCGCCCGGGGACGCAGCGGGGCG